TCTTTCTTTCTTTCTTTCTTTCTTTCTTTCTTTCTTTCTTTCTTTCTCTCTCTCTCTCTCTCTCTCTTTAAGTTTATCGTTCTGTGTCTTTCTCTCTGTAGAGCGCGCTCTGAGCGCGCCTTTCTGGAGCGCATGTCAGAGCGCGGGCGCCACAGAGCCCAGCCACACAGCCCAGCCACAGAGTTGACAGAGAGGACAACAGGAGGACAGGGCCTGGACACAGAGCCCAGCCACAGAGTTGACAGAGTTTAGGAGGACAAGGCCTGGACACAGAGCCCAGCCACAGAGTTGACAGAGTTCAGGGGCGCGGCCAAGAGGAGGACAAGAGGACACAGAGCCCAGCCACACAGCCCAGCCACAGAGTTGACAGAGTTCAGGGGCGCGGCCAAGAGGAGGACAAGAGGAGGACAAGGCCTGGACACAGAGCCCAGCCACAGAGTTGACAGAGCTCAGGGGCGCGGCCAAGAGGAGGACAAAAGGAGGACAAGGCCTGGACACAGAGCCCAGCCACACAGCCCAGCCACAGAGTTGACAGAGTTCAGGGCCGTGGCCAAGACGATGACAAGAGGAGGACAAGAGGAGGACAAGGCCCAGCCACACAGCCCAGCCACAGAGTTGACAGAGTTCAGGGGCGCGGCCAAGAGGAGGACAAGGCCTGGACACAGAGCCCAGCCACACAGCCCAGCCACAGAGTTGACAGAGTTCAGGGCCGCGGCCAAGACGATGACAAGAGGAGGACAAAAGGAGGACAAGGCCCAGCCACAGAGTTCAGGGGCGCGGCCAAACTCCAAAGACAACCTATCCTGGTCCCTGGTCCCGTGAACGATCTGGGTGCAAACCATAATCGACCAGTCACTCGCGACCAGGTGGCATGCCATCGGCCAAGGTGGGGAAGTACGCCTGGCCCAAGGGCGTGTCTTCCGAGAGCTGCGTGAGAGCGATGGCGAAGATATAGATCACGCACCTCGGCGCGGCCGGTGCGTGGAGATCTGAATAGTGGGGGTCCACCTCGGTGTACCCATATGGCTGGGTGGGTCATGGCACCCGGACTTCCTTTCACTCACACAGTCACTCGGGGTCGCGGTGGACCATTCTGTGCGTCGTCCTTGTGGTCAACTCAGGAAGAGGGCACGGTTGAAAGACCCGCACCCCTACGTCAGTGAATGTAGACTGTTGATGATATGGCTGTGGGGAACTATTATAGGCACCAGGAGACCAACTGGTTCACCTACCGTGACGGTCGTTTGGAGTCCTGGTGGAGCTAGGTCCTAAGGTGGTCAAAGACCTATGCCCAGGGCGTGCGTCAAAGAAGTTGGATGGCTCAGATTGTGCACAGCTAGGAGAAAGCTCCGTACCTACGAATGTTCTTTGTTTTCGGAAGGGGTTCGGCTGGTTCATTTGCCCAATCATGGGCAAATCGCTTGCCATCTGGTTGGTCGGCCACTGCCAGAGTTGCGATCCTGGTACATTGGGGGCACTTGACTATCCCAAGAGCTGGGACCATCCGAATCCGCACTCGGAGCGAATCGCATGAGGTCTCTTTCAGAACCCTGCTGAACCCTCACCTTCGCACAAACCCCGGCAGGAGTCACGACGTTCGGTTCGGAAACCTGAGTATCTCCGCTGACAAGGACCCCCGCAAATGTGGTCGTGACCGTGCGGCTTCACGGCATCACATCTGATCCTCACGTATCCTCTGGTCTATGACGTCTGCTAGAGTGAAGCTTCAGCTCTATATATAGGCGCTCACCCGACATAAGAGAGCGCTCGCCCGACCTAGGACAGGACAAGTGTCAAACGTTCTACAACACAACGACATTTGAGAAACAGATGTCACCCGTTCGAAGCACTACCATTTAGCTCTGGCCTCATCCCGTCCTCGTATCGCTCCTATCCTCCGACATCCGTCTAAGCCACAAGAGGATGAGGCAGGTGAACATCCTTGGCAGGAGGAATCCACTCTGGGTGCTCCCGACGTGGAGACCTGTTCTTTTTTGCAAACTGCGCTGCTTCCCAAAAAGCCCGGGTGAGAATCCCCTTGTACTGGCTGACACCCCCAAAAATTGGTACTAGTATTGCAATCCCCTTTCTTGAAAATTCAGAAGCTTTGGGTTCATTATTCTCAGGTGATGATGGTGACTGTATCTTTTCGTATGCAAAGGCTGCAGCAAAGGGCACGCTGGGGTGATCAAACGGGCCCCAAGCCCGCCCAAGCCTGGACCCGAGACCCAACCCGAGGTTCGAGAGGACCGACCGGAGCTTGGGGAAGAAAATACCACCGGAAACTTGGCTTTGCTGTTCAGGAAGGTGGGAAAGAGAGTAAAACCCTAGCCTTCAAAGACCCTTGTAAAGAATGGTTTACCTGGTTTTGTTGGAAATATGTGGAAACCTAGGGAACAGGTGTTCTCCTTTGTTCGGGCCTTCTAGGGATTCACCCAGGAACTGGCCAATTTACTGTAAATCAAGGGAAGCAAATCTTGGGCTTGGAAGGCCACCGCAAAAGGAACTCTCGCCCATCTCGCCCAGGCACACCGAGCGTGATGCCACACCGATGCCCTTCAACAAAATCATCACCTCGCGCGGCTCGCTCGCTCCGCACGTCTTCGGCACCGCCGAGCAGAGTTGTTCGGCGTTCACCGATGTTTAAGGATTGAAAAAACCGATGTTTGTGAAGGATTTGGCGGAAGATGATGGATGGCTTGAACCAGCTTAAGTGGGAAAGCGTGTTATATAATAGACCCACGTTCGTGATCCAATGCATTGAATCAGTCAAACCCTACGATCAACCTCTGAACAATCACCAAATCTGGATCTGCAGGTTGTGTGGTTTTGCAGTGTGCCAAATTTTATGGCCTGTTTGTAGATTTGATTCCAAAAATGAAGACCACCGTACATGAGGAAATGTCTCAGCCAAGCTGCATTCAGGCATATTGACACTCCTCTTCGAAGATTGAAGAGTATCTTCAGAATTCCCCATTCAAAATTACACCAGAGACAAGGAAAGACAAAGGGAGACAAAGCAAAATCATCTCAGCCCAGCATCCAGACATGTCATGGAAAACAAGGGGAGAGAAGGGGAGACAAGGGGAGACAAAGGGAGACAAAGGGCGACAAAGCAAAATCATCTCACCCCAGCATCCAGACATGCCATGGGAGACAAGGGGGGACAAGGGGAGACGAAGGGAGACAAAGCAAAATCATCTCAGCCAAGCATATGAGAGACAAGGGGAGACATAGGGAGACAAAGCAAAGTCATCTCAGCCCAGCATCCAGACACGCCATGGGAGACAAGGGGAGACAAGGAGAGACAAAGCAAAGTCATCTCAGCCCAGCATCCAGACACGCCATGGGAGACAAGGGGAGACGAAGGGAGACAAAGCAAAATCATCTCAGCCCAGCATCCAGACATGCCATGGGAGACAAGGGGAGACAAAGGGAGACAAAGCATCATCTCAGCTCAGCATCCAGACATGCCATTGGGAGACAAGGGGAGACAAAGGGAGACAAAGCAAAATCATCTCAACCCACCATCCAGACATGCCACGGAGACTAGGGGAGACATAGGGAGACAAAGCAAAATCATCTCAGCCCAGCATCCAGACATGCCATGGGAGACAA